TTCGACTGTGTGGACCATAACAGAGGATGGATAACATTGAGGAGAAGGGGAATCCAGAGCACTTAGCTGTGCTCACAGGGAACCTGTACATGGATCAGGAAGCAGTTGTTCAAGTAGAACAAGGGCACACTGCCTCGTTTAAAATCAGGAAGGGTGTGCGGCAGGGTTGTATCCTTTCACCACACTTACTCGATCAGTACGCTGAGCAGATGATCCAGGAAGCTGGACTATGTGAAGAAGAGTGTGGTATCAGGATTAGAGGAAGATGCCAACAACCTGGGATAGGCAGACGACACAGCCTTGCTTGTTGAAAGTGAAGGTGACTTGTAGCTGGTGAAGATCGAAGGCTGCAGCCTGGAGTATGGATTACACTGCAACCAAAAACCAGAAAGCCTCAGAACTGGCCCAGTAAGCAACATCATGGTAAGTGGAAAAGACATCGGAATTATTGGGGATTTCATGTCACTTGTGCTTGGGTGGTTTCCTCTAGGCCCCGTGACCAGCAGGGTGGCACTCAGGCCAGAACATGGCGAGGCTACTGACCAGCCGTTTATTTTGGAATTTCTGAGATGAAATGCCCTTGACGAGCTCTGAACTTGACCCACTTCACACACACATCCCTCCGCAGCAGACGTTCCCCGCCAGCAGCCTTGGGCACCCCTGCGTGCACGCTGCAGAAGGCATTTGATGGGACTGAGTCCGAGACTGGCTGCTAATGAAAGCTGCCGTTCAGGATGTCTTCCCGCCTGCCGCCTTTGAGCTTAATTGCTTTGAGGGAATGTCTTTCTGTGTATCCTAGATAATAAGAACCTTCTGCCAAGTAATTACTGCAAATAGCCTGCATGGCCAGTTGGGCACAGAAGACGTGGACGGTATAGAGTACAGAGTAGCGGAAAGTTGTAGAAAGTCGGGGGCTTCTTTCCGAGCCCACGCCTGAACTTTGTGGCTGTAGTGATGGGAACAGGGGCTCTGGTCCCTGCTCAGCTGCTGTTCTGTGCACAGCCTTACGGACAGCCCTTTGTCTCTCCAGGCCATTTCCTCATCTGTAAAGTGGGGGCCGTGACCACCTTCCTGCCTTGAGGGTTCAGTGAGGGCTCCATGCAGGGACAGACAGGCATTGCTGTGGGGTGAGGTGGAGCTGGGGCAGAGGCACGGGTCGGGGTTGAGCTCTGTCCCCACCGCTCAGGAGGTGCTGGCGGCAGTGCTCTTCGGAGCAGCTTGTACAGCAGGTGTTGACCCCCATTTTCCAGAGAAAACACCCGAAGGCTCAAGGCCTTGCCGTACGATTCTGGGGCATCTGTGGCAGAGCTGGGACCCCACCTCCTTGGTGACTCTCTCTCCCGTCAGCCCCAGGAAGCAGCTCTCGGCGCAGGAGAGGGTCTGGAGGCAGTGCGTCTTCCTCTCAGCTCCTCGCACTGAACGAGCCGGTCACACAAGGCTGTGGGGCCACCAGTCCCCCTCCCAGCATCTGCCCCTGCTCCTGCCCCTCTGAGGGTGAGACAGGCCTCGTGTGCAGCGCAGAATCGGGTGTGCTGGCCGCCTCGTAGTCTTGGACACACCCCACGTTAAGGTGTTTCTTTTGACCTGAGGAGCCAGAGAGCATAGAACCCTTAGACTGGAGTGTGCAGCTTGTCCGTTCGTGTTCACCGTTGGCTTCAGTCTTGTCACTTCTAATATCTTGTGCCCTTGATCCTTACGAGCACCTTGTTATACTTATTGTCAAATCAAGAGAACTAAAGAAAACAAAAATCCCTACAATTGGACCCATAAGCAACATC